TGGTATTCTGAACTCAACAGGCAGGGCTAGGCAAGAAGCAGGACCGATAAATACTCTAGACTGCTCATACAGGTTTTATGCGTCATTGATTCGGTCGATAATTCACTGTTCTCTAATTGGCGGTAACACTACATTATAGATTAATAGGACAGAGGGAACAAGTTATAACACAAATATTGTCCTAATCATTCGACTTCTCTTCATAATAATAAACGGGTTTAATTTTAATAATAGACATGGGTAACAGTCAAACTAATATGTGATATTAGTATACCAAGTCATTGACACTTGATCTGAACCATATTGAATAACCTAACCTATCTGGTTGAAGTCATCAAACGAATCTTGATTAACGATTAGAGATGTTAGATGATGTGGATTGGGTCTAATTAAAATGGAACAAATCTATTCATTATTTTTTTATCTTCTTTTAGATCTTGAATTTCAGAATTCTTTCATATATACCTTTCTATTCATTTCTCTTAAACTATATTCTCAACGTTCATTCCTTTCCACTATGAATACTTTTACTCTTTTTATCATTTATCTAGTTAATTTGATCATATCATTTCAATAGAATATGGGAATTTGGGCAAACATGCATATGTATCAGATTCTATGTTGATCAAGACTAGTCCCCAATATGTAATAAATAATTAATTTTTATTAGTTAAATTCATGAACCGATTTAAACCAGATCATCATTTAAAACCTGGAAGGACTAGACAGACGTTTCGTCCCAGTATGGGACTCATCAGCACGCAGGGTTGTAGATGCATACTGTTGATTATCTAGAGTGATGTGGTTTCAAATTGTTTTCACATTATTATTTTCTTTATTATCCTCGTCTCTTCTTACCCACACCCTCTCATTTCTAGTCTAGTCGGCCTTTTATTTTTAATATATAAATATTCTTAACAAGTGTATTATGTGTGATCAGATTGTTCGAATTGTATTGCTCTAATAATTATCACATAGTTCTGATAATCTTCATCTTTTAATTGACTATTATTTTGAGCCATTGTTAGTCATAGTTAGGATCGGTTCAATTATTGTATAAAAAAAGGTCCTGGGTTCGATTCTGGCGAGGTGGGATCGTGGATGCGCACTGCTGAGGAGCCTCACAGTAGAACGAAACTACCAACCTGAAAGCACTGGACGTCCGTTTCGTCCTAGTATGTGACTCATCAGCGGTAAGCATCCGCGATCCTACATGTGTGACTTGAACCCTGGACCTTCGGTCTCATGCGTGAACGCTTGACTTGTAGAACATTGAGTTAGCATTCAACATACCAGGATGAAACGACCATCCGGTGCTTCCAGGTTTTGAATGGTGGCCTTAGATAGACTCATGAATTTAACTATTAAAATCACTTCAATCTCCACAAATCCCTATTCTAATAATAATGACCAATATGTTAACATCACTAAACTATACACGCATATAAATTCACTTAATGACATTCAAACTTGTTAAAAATGAACGGAGCAGGATAAAGGCGAGATCGTATGTCAAACACATTCTTTTACTTTTTACCACCCTTGACTTCATCTCCTCCAACCGTGTGGTATGTAATCAGTTGAATAAACGGTACTTTAAGTGTTCAACCATCATTTCTCATTACTTTTGTTCCCAATCATTGCCTTACTGGTCATCTTAACATGAGATGTGATATATATATATATATATATATATATATATATAGCGCCAAGTTTATATTCAGCAGACATATTTATTCAAATGATTCCCAATATGTATCTGATATTATTTTGAACAATGCACAGTCGTTAAAATGACAAAAGGCTCATTGTCCTCAAGTCATTATCACATTGACTAATAACAATGAGCCTCGCCTTATGTTTGATGTTCTCAGGGTAATCAAAAAAACTACGGAACCACTTCTTCTTAAATGACAGATTTATTGTAGATTGTTGTAAGAAGTGAATGATTAAGGTCAATTTGATGTTGTTGAGATTGCTATAGCTGGAAATCAGTACGTTTGATAATCATGCTTTAATGTTATGTGTCAGTGAATAATTGACGAGATCTCAAAAAAAAGATCAATATATTGCAAATCAACCGCTTTCTCTTAGCACGGAACTTCTCTGCAATGGACATTCATAATTCCGTACGCAAAAAACAAACTCAGGACATTCGGTTTCGTGTGTGAATGCTTAATCTCTAGATCTTTAAATCCTATACTGGTCAATTATACCAGTCAGCCGGTTAGTAACCTATATTTTGATGTGTTTCTAAAGTTAAAGTAAGAAATCCTATCTGATGGAGTTCAAATATATTTTGAGTAAAATATCTGTCACCGTTGGAATTGAATAGTCATCGCGCTATACCATAAACTGACTGACATCGGAATTATACCATTAGAGACTGACACATTGTTTATAATGATGAGGCGCTCTCCACAAGACCTTACTGCCTTGTGGTTTTTCTCTGGTCATATGGTAGCTAATCAATGGGGAAAGGCCTTATTCTAGTGCGAAATATCTGTCCGTTTCTTACTGACATTCAAAATGATACCTTAAGTAAGATCAATCAGTGGCGAATACAATCTATAGCTTACTTATATATACAAGATGAACATTACTTACTTACTTACTCCCATTACTCCTAATGGAGCATAGGTCTCCAACCATCATTCTCCACCCTACTCTGTCCTGAGCCTTCTTTTCTAGTTCTATCCAATTGTTATTCATTTTTCTCATGTCTATCTTCATTTCTCGGCGTAATGTGTACTTCTTTGGTCATCCTCTTCTTGTTTGGCCTTGAAGATTCCATGTGTCTAAGAAAAAATCCCGCTAAAGATGAACATTTGTCTCCCCTAAAAATACAACACTAACCTTATTGTATTAAACAAATGTTATTTAATTAAATTTAACCATTGAAACATACATTCAACTATACAGTGACAGTTTTCTTTATTCTTTTCTTCTTTTCTCTTTTTTTCAATGAAAAAGACTTGCAGTGACGTGAAAAAGTCCTTCCTTTTCCTACATTTTTCCAAAGACATAATTAAAAAAAGCAGACATTTGAAGTAAACTAAAAGGAATGATACACGAAAGAAGTATGAAAGTGAAGGAGAGAATGAGAGAGAGGTATTCAGTGTGTATTGAATAGAAAGAAATAGTGAAAGTATAGACAACACAAGAGAACAAGAGAGTACATTATATATATATACATAGAGAGAGAGAGATGGGTTCATGGTTTCAGTGAAACTCAACTATCTTTACAACCTTATACTGATAATTATCATATATTCACTGATGACTAGCTCTGAGATGTAACTCTTGGGATTCTAATGAGAAGTCATGATTAATGGAGCTAACCTGTGTCGGATATAAGATAGATATACATCTCAGACAATAGATGAAGGGTTGCGCAAGATGATGCATTAATTGAAGTTAGACATAAACATCAATAGATGCCGGATGAGTTGTCTAAAAGTTAAGCGTTCGCGCGCTAGACTTAAAGATCATGACTTTATATTCCCTTTTATGAGGAGATTGCGTACTATGATGAAACGACTATCTAGTGATTCCAGGTTTTCAATACTGATCTAACATTGATCGGTTCATGAGTTCAATGGAACTCAACAATCTCCATAGCCCTAAACTGATATATAAATATATATAATCTTCATACTTTTTTAAGAAATGTCAGAAGAAATTCACTTAATGAATATGTATCTCATTTGAAAGAAAAATACAACAATCTACTTGATTTTTTCATTCGAATTAACATTATCTATTTGTAAGCAAAAGTGGATAATGGCTAGCGCATTTCGTCCTATGTGGGACTCGTCAGCTGGACGTACCTGCATTCTAGAGTTGATGTTCGCTCCGGGACTCCAACCCAGTACCGTTCGCTTCAAGCGCTATCGCGTTATCCACTTAGCTACTGAATCCTGGTAACCATCTGCTTCTGTCATGGGTTGAAATTTAAATTCACTTGTTGTTGTTTTACTTGTATCTTCCCATTGTTATTTAGTACTGCAACTGATCAGTCTTTTGTTGGCATTTGTGCAACTCTCGGATGCAAGTACATCCAGCTGGCAATATCGAAATAGAATGAAACGCGCGTCCTGGATTCCAACGCTAACCACTATCCATCTTTGCTTATAATGCTTGTGACTTAAGGCTATATCGAGGCAATACGCACAGGATTTACATATGCCAACAAGAGACTGATCGAAATACAGTCTTAAATAACAATGGAAATAAACAAGTGAAACAACACCAAGTGAATAATCTATTTGTCTACAAACAATTTAACTGATAACTTTTATCATTCCATTTTAAGTCGATCAAACTTTGACATGTACTGTTCTATATTCATTTTTCAATTAAGAATAAAAAAGTGCATTAGTAAAGGTGTGTAATTTTGCTGTTTAGGGATGATTACACTGACTCAATATCGCATTACATTACAAGTTTTTTTTTGTAGCTGGTAAGTGTCTAGCAGTGTATTACAAGATCCTCATCTCTTCCTATTCGGCACTTATCGACTGAATGTACCTGTTGCTACATCTCATTGTTGATGTTCGCACTGACACTTCAACCCAATATCTTTTGTTTCTATACTCAATGCTAGCTATACATCAAATATATGAGAATTTGAGAATATGAAGTACGTCTTTTGGTTTAATTATTAACGACTGTTATTCCTGAATAAGTAATGTGTATATGAGTAGAGCTTATAGGGTAGCCAATGTCATCAATCGTAGAGACCGAAAAACGTTTATGCGATTAATGATCATCCTTTTATTATTAAAACCGATAGAGAAGCATGAAACTGATATGTATCAATCAATAAGCTTCAGCCATACATTGCGAATTTATTACCTATGACATCATATTTCTTTCTGTCACTGCCCTTCATCCCTTTGTGTATCTTCATTTCAACTCCGTTGACAACTATCAACCTAAGTGTGATTCAATTAAAACATCAATTTATTTATTTTAATGATTATTTCATTCTATTCTAGGCTCATGTTGTCTCAGCTTTTGAACAAAGTTTAAACAATATGTCACAACGACTACAGAATTTATCAAATACCACAACAAGGAAAGTAAGTGATGTAATTTCATGTTGATTCTTTTGACTGATAAATCCTTACGATGTAAACTGATTAATTTGGATTCTTGTAACAACTTTACGTGTATGAATGAATGAATGAGTTTGTAATAAACTGATTGATTGATTAACCGGATATGATCTCTACTTGAATGTGAACCGGTAAGTTGTTATAGAAAAAGCAGATTCTAAACATAGTTGTTAGCTGAAATTCAATCTAACTAAAAATAATCATGTGATCAAACTATGATATTGAAGTAATTCACTCAAGATGACAAGAGAGGTTGGTTAGTTTCAGTTCTCAATAGGTAGACTGATTAAATAATACAAACTCCTATAAATAATCGATTTAATCCAGCGGACCTGTTGTTTTTTCGATCAGTGTCACTCTATATATTTTTCATTTATCCCATTGTTATGAACATCTCGAGTAATTTAAAATGCATGAGAGGAGCTGTCACTTCCCAGTTGGACACACTGAGGAAGGAGGCTGCTTCTTGGGAGATCTGAAGAAGAAACTAGATTGAAAATGGTCATGTCAATTTAGGAATGTAACTGTATATCTCAAGGAACATTTGTTTGAGGCCACTCATGAATGACTTTTTGTGGTCAGATCTTGATATGTTAACGCTTTACGTTAAGGGCTTTACTCCAGAAAACAAAAGCCTATAGGATAAAGTAAAGTGTGTTAATTTTAATCCCGATCTTTATAACCACTTCCTTTCATTGTTGGAAGTCAGCATGACTGCAAATTATAATTGTCTGAGAGTAATACCTTACTACCATTACACCTCCATACAGATAGCGGTATGACTTTGCTCTAAGATTTCAAGTTGCAGCCTTCAGTCTTATTATTCTTCAGCTGACCTAACTAGTATGGTAGGACCTGAAGAAATAGATATTCTGACCATGATAGCTTGATTACGTCATCACAATAGGCAAGCCAGATTACCGTGTTAAACATGCAGCTATTGTTAGGGATATCAACATCATCACCATCATCCTTATTCATCTACTATTCAACAACTAATGTTTATCTGAATTTAAAGATCATTTACACTTGAAGATGAAATTGTTGTCAGTTGTCAGTTCATTAAAACAAAATTAGAATGAATTTAACCCCTACTTTTCCATTCTAATTTGAAGCTGTTCTATATTGAAGACAGCTTCCGATTATGGAATAGGTTCTTTATGCTCGACAGTGTCCGGCAACTAATTACCACATAGTCAAAATCTTCCAAATGATCAAGAAAAGAAAAAAACAGGAATTCAGGAAAAGTTTAATATTTAAAAATGTGAAAATTATGATAAAACAACACGGTTTATCTACCAATGACTTTGATATTGGAATATAATAACATAAAATATTGAACAGAATGAGGATCCCGCGTGTAGGATTGTGGATGTGCACTGCTGAGGAGTCCCATACTAGTGTGGTATGTTCTGCTGATGTCGACAGATATAAGTAGTATGTATCATCAACTTAAAGTAAAATGTCTGGCTGTAGAAAGTAAAGAAGATTGGAGAAAAGAGAACGAGAAGAGAGTGACTGGTGTAGAAGCGAAGGAATAACAAAGTTTTAGACAATTGATGGATATTTTGCAAATGAAGAATTTACTGTATGAGTCTCAGATTTTACTATGAGATTCTGTAATTTTGTATCAAAATACATTCGGTTGTCCCCATTGGTGTTCTCATTCACTACACTAGGACGGACCGACCATCCAGTGCTTTAAGTAAGTAATACGAATGAATTGTAATTTACCCATTGACACAATCTAATGGCTATCTGGACTCAGTAGCTAACGGAATAACGTGATGGGGTTTAAAGTTAACGGTACAGTGTTAGAGTCCTTGATTGAACATCAACGCTGGGATGCAGGCACATCCAGCTGACGAGTTTGAAATTAAACGAAACGTCCGTAATAGATTCCACTGTTAGCCACCATCCATCTCTACGCTTATAACGATTGTGATTTACGGCAATATCGACGCAATCCACTTATGATGAACATATGCCAATAAGAGAGACTGATCAATGGAAAGATTCAAACAACCAATACAAAAAGATATTAATTTTTCAATAGTTTGTAAACATTTAATGAAAGTGCGCTAGTTCATATGATTATCATACACAACTAATCAATGAAAGCCAATCATAGGCAATTGGACAGGACTGGACAGGAAGGCCCAGGACAGAGTGAGTTGGAGAATGCTGGTCGGGGGCCTATACTTCATTGGTAGTAACAGGCGTAGGTAAGTAAGTAAGTAATCCAAGGCCATAGCATCGATGACGGTATATGTACGTTAGGAAGACGTTTGAATGGGATCCCGATATTGTAATACAAAATAACTTGAATTAATTCACTATTGTATCAAGTTATACAATTACTGTAATTTAGTATATATAAATATATGATTTTTTTGGCATTTTTTTTCTTCGAAAGGATTCAGAACTACATGAATTAAGAGCAACAATTGATGCATTACGTAGTCAAACAGAATTAGGACTATTAAAAAAACCGCCAATTAATCGACCTTGTGAATTGAATAGATCATTTACTAATGATACATTGAAACAACAAGAAAATTCATGCATTTCTACTACTACTACTACTACTACTACTACTACTCTACTTCTACCACTACTATTATTACTACTAATACTACTTCCAATACTGGTAGTAATAGTGAGAATGAACAAGCACATATTAATTCACGTTTAACAATTTCAAATGCAAGTCTTACTGATGTAGATAGTCAACAACTACAAATGGATAATTCAATTGATAAAGTATCATCTACCACATCCGGTTGTAAATCTTCAGGAACTAATGTGAAGAAAAATGGATGGGTAAGAAATTTTGGTATACATATTTTAGATATTTTGTAAGCAATGATGGATAGTGGCTAGCAGTGGAATCCAGAACGCGCGTCTCGTCCTATTTGAGACTCGTCAACTGGATGTACCTGCATCTCAGAGTTGATGTTCTCTCTGGGACTCGACCCCAGTGCCATTCGCTTTAAACGCCATCGCGTTATCAACTCAGCTACTGAGTCCTGATAGCCATTTGCTTGTGCAATGGGGTGAATTAAAATTCACTATGTATTGTTTGGCTTGTATCTTTCCATTGAGGTTTAAGACTGCAATTGATCAGTCTGTTATTGGCATATGTGCATACTGTGCGTATGCCTCGATATTACCTTAGTTCACAAGCTTTTTGGGAAGATACAAGCCAAACAATACCAAGTGAATTTATATTCTAGATAGTTTGTCTTGTGTACAACTGTTAATGAAACTGTCTAAACTTATGAACTATAGTGTTTTTGTTTAGTTCATTTGTGATTAGTGGTAGAATCTAGGACGCTTATTTCATCACAATTGATTGATCACTGGGTGGTGATCAATGTCAGGTGTGTCAAGTCCTTCTTAATGCAGATCAAATGCTATCGACTAAGTTGCAATGTGGCCACTTGTCTGTTCCTATTGACTACCTCCAGCCACCAACTAATCTCAACATAGTGCACGCGATGTCGAGTCACTTAGACTAGTGGCCACATTGAAACGTGGTCTATAGTATTTGATATGAACTAAGAAAGACTTGATACACATGACATTGATCATCACCCAGTGATCAGTCAACTGTGATTATATCTTAATCTCACAGGAGGGTCGGTCACGACCCGGATAGCCTAGTGGTAACTTCTCCGACTGTGAGTCTGGGTGACACCGGATCGAATATGTCAAGGGGCACCAGTTCCCTCAACATTACAGGTATACCTTGGAGATGAGTGCTAAGTAGCACAAAAACCGGGTCCAAGGTTCCCTCCAATCACCATCTGAACGCTTATTTCATCCTACTCGGGAATCATAACAGCTGGATGTACCTGTCATATCCTAATATTGTTGATTACATTAGGACTCGAACCTAATGCTTATAACTTAATGGTAATACTGAGCCAATCCGCACAGAATGCACATATGCCAATAAGAGAGAGAATGATCAATTGCAGTCCTAAACATCAATCGGAAGATTCAAATAAACAATACTAAATGAATTAATACTTTCGTTACTTTACATTATAGATTTAACTCAATAAAACTATTGAAGCACTGGTTAACTTTTTCGTCTTAATATGTAATCTACCAAGGGATCATGAACTGACTGTATTTTGATAACTGTTAAAAACTACGAACTACTAAATATGTTTCCTCTTAGTATGAAACTCCTCATTAGTGTGTGTCTACAGTACCATCTAGGGGTTGAACCCAGGATTTTCAGGCTTTGTGAAGAGCACCTAACTTTTGGATCGCTCAGATAGCATTCGATCATCATTCGTTGTTGTTGATATCCATCTAATGCTCAGTGTGGCTGAACTCCATTGGTCCCATCTTCTCAATAGAACTTCAGGAATTACCTCTAAAAGTTAGTCACCTATAATCACATGAAAAGTTTTTACATAAGGAATTGTGAGAATTGTCGAATTAAAAGTAACACATCACTTACTAGCATCGAGTCCTTAAGGTTTTGCATTCTATCGCCAACGAAGCGGTCAATGATCACTCCTTGAAGAGTTCCAAATTAGAAGGAAACAGCTATCTAGTGATTCACCCCAACTTTCATTGGTAACTCAACTGAAAACTTACACTTTTTACCTCTTGTGAAGAGGCATAGATCATCCATTAGCATTCTCCATTCAACCCTATCCTGAACAATCTTTTCCAGTTCTTTCAAGTTGCTATTAATACTTTTCATGTCTACTTCCGATTCCCGACGTGGTGTGTTCTTCGACCTTCCACTTTTCCATTTCCCTCCAGAAGTCCAAGTTAGGGCTAGCTTCTTGATGCATTTTGGTGATTTCCATAATGTCATATCATATCCACTTCCAATGTCTTTTCCTGATTTCCTCCTCAGCTAAAGGTTGGTTTGTCCTCTCTCATCGTAAACTGTTACTAATGGTTTCCAATCAACGAAATCAATCTATGATAAATACAATCTACATATTGAATAAATGTTCATAAAACACATTCCGTTAAACCCTTATTATTATTATTATCATTATCATAAATGTATTTGTTAGTTGACCTTATCTAGATTAATTGGTCAAACATTGTTGATTAATTAATCATCTCTTTGAATCAATAAATAGGCCAACCAACGCATATATTCAACTATGAATAATCCTAATCATAGTTTCACCTGTTTCATTTGGGCTTTTTTCTTTTCGTTTCTTTTCTTTTCTTTCTTGTTTCTTTTTCTCTTCTTGTTTCATTCATTTCTCTCTTCAACTGTGAACTATTTATGCTAAGGTATATGTGTGTATATGAATGTTATTGGGTAGCTTAGTTGTATGTATTATGAAATTCATTGGAATTCTAAAAGTGAAACACACTCTTGTATTCCATTAGGTTTCCCTTCAACAGATACATTATCATTATTATTATTATTGCATTAGTATGATTATTAATTGTACATACTTGATGGTAAAATGATTAATACCTTAGAAAATTTGCTATTCAGTAGTTGATTACTGTAATTTAGGCAGGAAAACGAATTCTTCTAAATAGGTGCTTATATATTAGTGTATGTGTGTGGGTGGGTGGTAAGTTGGTTGTAGAGAGAGAGTGAGAGTGAATGGAATAATTTAGTTTCATTGTTTACACTGAAATTTCCGGATATATAATATGTATATGATTATTTACTTACTTACTTATATACTTACGCCTGTAACTCCCAATGGAGTATAGGCCGCCGACCAGCATTCTCCAACCCACTCTGTCTTGGGCGTTCCTCTCTAGTTCTATCCAATTGTTGATCTTTTTTTTGTCTGTCTCCATTTCCCGGCGTAATGTGTTCCAGGGTCTTCTTCTTTTCCTTTGGCCTTGAGAATTCATATAAGAGTTTGTCTTATAAAGCTCACCTGAAGCTAGTCGTTGTTGTCCAACCTGCCTCCAATGTATCTCCTTATTTCTTCAGCAATTTGGAAGACTCTCCCGGTCTCCCACATTGTACGAGCGTTCCATGTACCTAAATTAATAGTTGCTCTGGTTGTCAGAAGGGGAATCAGCCTCGTGACTTCCGAAGGAACACGGCTTTCACCATGAGGCGTGATAACATCAGTAGTTGATTACTGTAATTTAGGCAGGAAAACGAATTCTTCTAAACAGGTGCTTATAAATATTAGTGTGTGTGTGTGTGGATGGGTGGATGGGTGGATGTAAAGAGAGAGTGAGAGCGAATGAATAATTGACTTTCATTGTTTACACTGAAATTCGAACTTCGATTCTTGGTAGACGGTTCTTACCATGCAAAAATCACATGAGTAAAACCATGACGGTATATATGATTACTTACTTACTTACACCTGTTACTCCCAATAGAGCATAGGCCGCCGACTAGCATTCTCCAACCCACAATGTCCTGGGCCTTCCTTTCTAGTTCTATCCAATTTTTGTTCATTTTTCTCATGTCTGTTTCGATTTCCCGGCGTAATGTGTTCCGTGGTCTTCCTCTTTTCTTTTGGCCTTGAGAATTCCATATAAGGGCTTGTCTTATAAAGCTCACCTGAAGCTATTCGTTGTTCTCCAACCTGCGTCCAATATATCTCCTTATTTCTGCAGCAATTTGGATAACTCTCCCGGTCTCCCACATTGTACGAGCATTCCATGTACTTAAATTAATAGTTGCTCTGGTTCTCAATGGAGGGAGAGCTGACTCTCCCCACTCTCGGCTATACCACGGCATTTGGAGGCCGAATAACCATTCAGTGCTTTCAGGTTTTCAGTAATGGTCTAACTAATATCGGTTCATGATTTCAATGAAATTACTGTATACTATTAAAGCCACAATTTCATAGCCTACGTTGCTCAACAGACTTATGTTGGATCACTAATATATTCCACCTTCATATTCACTATGACTACTACTCTGTTCTTTCTCTATGTCAGTAATGCTTTGATTTTGAATTCATCACATTTATTGCTTCTATTTACCTAATATTATTTCCTTTTTTATCACAAAATTAGTTTCGTAATTCACTTGGTAAAGCATTCCGTAAAAAGACCACATCATCATCAACACTATCAATACATTCACAAAGTGATATAGATTGTCCTACATCATCAATACAACACAACTCTATCTATCATAGTAACAACAACAATAATAGTCTTCCTCCTGGACATCCATCCAACTTACCACAAAGTCCGACTATGGATCATAAAGGATTACATAATACTATTATAAATCAATCTAATATGAATTCTATACAATCTAATAGTCATATGAATGCTTTATCTGTCTTATCCAATACACATTTAAATGGTTTATCTCCATCGAATTCATCAACATTATCATCGTCATCATCATGGAGTACATTAGGAATAAGTGGAAATGGTCAAAATAATTGTAATATCATTACAGCTACTACTACTACTACTACTACTAATAGTAGTAGTAGTACTATTGTACCATATACAAATGAACAAATTAGTAAGTTTTACACTTTACAAATCGTCTATTTTGACATGTTAACTTTTTTTACTTTAAACTTAGGAAATTTATACATTATACTTTTATCAATCGTTACCATTGGAGTCCATCCTGTGTCAGGTTTGAGTCCTGATGGCGTGGTATTGGATGAGCACTTTTGAGGAGTTCCATACTAGGATAAATTGACCGTCCAGTTGTTCCAGGTTTTTAATGGTGATCATGATTTCAATGAATGAGATAGTCTCCTAAAATCAAAGTAACTCAGTGTGATTGACATTTAAGTAAAGTGATTTTTGTCATGTGTCTAATTATCTCTGCGATTGAACCGGGTCTCCTGTGTGATAGTAACTCACTGATGACAATGGTGGATGTGTCGCTCAGTTTCGTGGATTAGTTGAATTTGGACAGTTGGATTTCGGCCTGCCCAGTGGTCTAGAGGTTAAGTGCTCACGCGCGAGACTGATAGGTCCTATGTTCGAATCCCGGGTGGCTGGATCGTTGATGCTCAATGCTGAGGAGTCCCATACTAGGACGAGACGGCCATCAAGTGCTTCCAGGTTTTCCATGGTGTTCTGGTTTCAACTGACTCATTATCTCAATTTAAGCAATTACTACAATCTCACAAGACCCCTTCTGACACTGATCTCTTCAATTAACAAAATTAGTCTGTTAGTTTTAACATAAATCACATTAGGAAGTTAAAACAATAATATATTTTTAACTTGGCAACTTTATCATGATCTGATCCTAAACAAGGTAAGTGACTAGAACTAATCAATAAATCTCTAACATAACCACACCAAAATACTATCCTAAATAAAGGATGCGATCTTCAAGTTATTGTAGTCAAGCGGTGGACTTATTTACAATTGACTGATTGTCGATAAGTGATTAATCTTGTTTATGTCAAAAACTTCGTAGTACCGATCAAATTTTACCAGTCAAACTTTAATGTGGTCATTAGTCTTGGTTACGACATCACGTGTACTATGTTGAAGATAGTCAACAAGAAACCCTATTTTACGTGGGTTTCGTACTTTTTAACACTCTTCAGCAAAGTATACCAGGAATCTTAAGGCAGTTGACGTTCTTAAGCGGTTTCACTCCCATATCACTCAGCCTCATAAACTTGTACGTTACATCAGAATCATTCAAGATGTAACTAATCGCCTGTAAGTCATTAGATCGAATGTACCAGGAAGCATCATTTCCTTCAAGTGCCATACATCAACTAACTTAAACCAATCAACATTTCCTGTCCACTATCTTCAACCGGTGAATTCATTTCATTATCAACTATCCCCTAGATGATCATAGATAATTCAAAAATATCGTTTCTTTCTTTAGAAGAAAAAAAAAGAGATTTATTCACCAATTGTTTACATCTGTCATTAATCATATACGATACATGAATACACGATAATCAATCAAAACAATATTCTAAGGTCAGTTGGTCAAATTTCATGCAACACATTAGACCGACAACAATAACAAACAATTACATCTTGTTGGATTTTATAATGAAATAATTAACAGTTGCCAAATCAATTAAGATTAGTTACGATTGACTACAAACAGATTTCGATCTGTATATACCTAAGCTCCCAATTTTGAGGAAGCCGCTATAGTAAAGTTTGGGTAAATGGCACAAAAACCCCAAAATTTCCCCAAAGTTGGGAGCTTGGGTATATATGTTGGTGTATGTTACTGATATGACAAATAATATAAGTAATATGTAACACCAGTCGAATGTGAAATGCCTATCAGCAGAAGAATGATTTAAAGAGGAGAGAAGGGGGAAACAGTGAACCATTTTAGGAATAACAGAATTGGAAGAATATGAAGTGTGTAAAGGATAACTGATAGGAGAATGTAAATGAAGTATTCAATGTATGGTTATCATTTTATCAAGACATTCTGTAATTTTGTATTGAACAAATTGTTCTTCTCCACTTGACTTCGTCGTTCACTACATATATTTGCTTTGATTGAGATCATGAACCGACTGATGTTAGACCATCATTCGAAACCTGGAAGCACTGGACGGCCGTTTCGTCCTATTTTGGGACTTTTCAGCTGTGCGCATCTACTATTCCGCTCGCGGGATTAGAACCCAGGGCCTTCAGTCTCGCGCGCGAACGCTTAACCTACTGGACCACTGAGCAGGCCGGCATCCAATGGTGTTAATGTCTAACCTCAACCAATCCACGAAGTTGCGCAACCATCTTCCATTGTACTGAGGTAG